ATCTCAAGGCTTTGGACCATCCTCCATTGCTTTCCTAGGCCACCAGCAGGAAGATGGAAGGGCAGTGGAGCAGCTGAGGCAATAATTGGCATCCATATAAAATGCCAGCAGTTGGAGGTGAAGGATTAGCCAGCTGAGCCAATATGCTAGCCCAAAGTTATATTTTCTGTTGCCATTGCCTTGTGATAGATCACAAAACATTAGAAATTAGGGACAAAATATAAGAAAACCTGACTTAAGACTTGATGAGAATGAAATGGAATAATTAGAGTCCATTGAGTTATCTGTGAAAACTGTAAAAAAAAATTAGGCCATCAAAAGACAAGGAATAAAAAATACTAACACATAAACAGCATCTAGCTTCAGTAATTTATCCAAAGCATTAACGGGCATGCTTTTATACATCCTCATTGGGTATCTTTAGCTGAACACTTGCTCATGGTCTCTTTATGCTTTCTTCCTCCTGTTGCTTCTCCCTTTGAGTTCACTGTTCTTTCTTTCCTTCCCATTAGACCAGTATTTAAATGAAAACATGGGCCCAGCAGTGAATTGACAAAGTATATTGATAAGTACAAAATAAGACAAATCAGCGTTGGACAAGCAGAGTGTATTGGGTTTCAGAGGCAGTGAAATGTATTAAAGCCTGTGAGTGATTGGAGGGCTCCCTGATCATAATGCTTCCCTTTCTGCCTACTGCCCATCAAGTTGGAACAGCGCAGCAGTTAGAACATTAGGTTTTAAACAGGACATATATAGAAATATAGGAGCTTAGATCTTGTAGTCATAGAACTCCAGAGGGAAAAAAAGGAATGGCCATGGCCATGAGCCATGAAGCTCTCCTAACCCTTGAGATAGCTGAGTTTTGTGATCTTTAGCTATACATTCAATTACATGACATAATTCAGTACTTTTTCAGCAGAAGTATTTTATTTAAGCTAGTTCAGAATTGGCTTTTTTGTTCATTGTGAGCAAAATTACTTTATCCAATTTTAACTCTTAGCTTGATTTTCCTTCAATCAAATAAGCCAGATACAATTTAAAGTAGGGGAGACAGACTGGTAAATGAGATGAACATGATTTGTGCCTGCGTGGAAATTTCAGTTTGAGAACATAGACATGAGAAAGTGAAGTACAGCTGTGGAAGGATTCCATTTATTTATTGGCAAATACTTATTGAAAATGTATTGTGTGTGTGTGTGTTTGTGTGTGTGTGTGTTTGTGTGTGTGTATCACTATTCTAGGCCCTTGGATTATCAGTAAAGAAAACAAAGATACCTACTTTTATGCCAGTTAACAGTGGATGATGATAGTGAGCACAAACAGAAATAAATGTTAATATACTATGAATTTAGATGGTGGTAAATACTGTGGGGAAAAAAAGTATTAAGTAGACGAAATAAATAAATAAATAAATGGTCTGTGAAATGACCTAGAGGCCGGAGAAATGACAACTTGGAGAAACTGGAAGATTCTTATGGTTAAAAAATAAAGCACAAGTCCAGTGGCTCAAAATGAGGATCAAGAGGTTAGCCAGCTGCATTGTTAAGGGCTTTATAATTCATTCTGAGGATTTTAAACTTTATCCTAAACCAATCTAAATCCACTTAAGAGTATAAACTATTGACTGATGTGACGAGTTTCACATTTTAAATTTATCATTTTGTCTGTAACCTGGAAAACATGTTGAAAGCCAACTGCAGGAATGACCGAATAATTAGTCCATGTGAGAAACAGTGGTGCCCTTGACCAGCTTGTTTTCCTGATAGTGGTAGAAGTGATAAAATGTTTCTTGTCCAGGTGTAGAGTTTTAGTTTTTCTTGTTTAGGATATATTAATGGGAATTCAACTTTATCTTTTATTCTGTGGGATTTGAAGTTATATAAAGCCAATTTGAAATGTTTACCACTGTTCCATTGCCTTCGTGATTACCAAGTTTAATCATGCCTCATCTTTGGGAACCAAAGTATTTGTGGGTGCTGAAGACACACAGCAGCAATAATTTACTTTTGCACAGGCATTCATTCTACCCCCCCCCCCATTTGTTTCTGTCTACCTGGCCGCAGAGTATCATTCTCAGATTGTAAGAGAAGAAACATAGAGGACTAATTAAGAATGCAGCATTTTATTGCAGAATCTTCTGCCTTGTGTTTTGTAAAAGAAAATTGCTTTTTAGTCTGGAATAAGGACTACATACTGGAAAGCAATAAGACATTTGGTCACCATATTGTGTTATGACATTTTGTAATGCTCACACAGTATTTTTCAAAGATTTATTTGAAAGGCAAAGTGACATAGAGAAAGAAGAGAGATCTTCCATCTGCTGGTCACTCTGCTGTGGTTGGATCGGGAAAGACAGGAGTCAGAAATTCTATCCAAGTCTATCTTGTGGATGGCCAACATATAAGTACCCCTCATCTACTGCTTGCCAGGAAAATTAGCAGGAAGATGGTTCACAAGTGGAGTAGCTGGGCTCAGGGTGACATCCTGATTTGGGATGGGATCTTCTTCTAGTAATGGCTTAACTTGTTATAGTCTCAAAACCAGACCATTATTACATTTTATTGCTGCAAAAGCAATTTAACAGGCAACCATTTTGATAGGTGTGTAGTAAGATTATGTTACTTCCCCTCCATTAGTTATTTGTTTTATTTATAGTTTACATACTAATCGCAAAATAAACAATCAGTATCTTACTTTGAAATGATCTAACTTGGGCCATTTCAAATCTAAAATTACATTCAAATTTCAACAGCATTCCCTGATGTTTTGCCAGTTGGTTACAAATCTAATAACAAGAATTGGGACTTTTGAATTTTTTATTTGTCATGCTATCTCTTTCAATTCTTGAAGATGTGAAGACATGTCATCTTCTGTGATAATGGGATATGGATTCCTGTAGCTTAATTGGGTGTCCTCTATCCTTGAGAAATCTGCTTTCTATTAGGATTCTGGAGATTGTGTTGTGCGGACGTGGAGTTTAGGAGGGTAATAGTTTTTGACTGTTCTCATTGTAATACCTTGTTATAAACATGTACTTTTAAAACATGGGCTTCTATCTTGTATTACTTTTTGCCTTGGAGTCTCTCCCTCATGAATTACTTTGCAACTTGTTTGAAGTGAATCATTTTAAAATTTATATCCTGTCCTACTTTTATTTCAAGTCTTTACTTAAAATATCTTCTTTTTCTCTTTACCCTGCTCAGATATGCATGAACATTTTATGCATTTCACACTCCTTGAGATGGAAAAAAATAATATGCTAATCTGAGTAGTGGTAAAATCAGATACAGAAAAGAGACTTTGTCCTCCAAAGGGTGGACAATGGTATATCAGTTATCACCATTGTTAATGTGGCAATCATGTAGATTTACAATACCGGGAAAGGGAACATTCATTTGGGACTCTTCTCAACTTCGAAGAGGTCAGCGTTGCAGATATTTTCTGCTTGAGTTCAAGCATCATGTTCTAACTCCCTTTGGTATCCCCTACTCTAGCAGTTAGCATCAATATAGGCTCATGCTAAGGTGAGTGAGTAAGTTGAAATTAAGAGTCAATAGGAAACATTAAATACTGTACTTATTATACCAGAAATCACACTAGGGATGGCCAAAGAAGAGGTATTGACTAGAAATTGAGTCCTGGGTTATGTGTTTCTATAAACTTGGTGTGTGATTATCTGCAGAGTCTAGTAAAATCCAAAAAGGAAATTGCTATAACACAGGCTGCATGTTAGACAAGTGATCCTCAAATTTGAAGATGCATCAAAACCACCTAATCTGATATTTCCTGAAGCATAAAGTGTTAGGCACTGCTTCCTCAGCAGTTCTGATTCTGTTGGATCTAGGGAAGAAAATGAAATTATAATACTAACTTTTCCCTCCCTGGTGATACTGCCACTGCTGATGTAGGTAGCACACTTTGAAAACACTGAATTAGACCCTGGGGAGCTGCAGATCCGGGCAAAAAACTTGTTCCATGATCTACACAGTAAAGGATGACTTCAGACACTTTCGAGTAGGTCTGAAATGATGTAATTAAATAAATCTGAGAGTAGTTAAGTCTTTCTTCCTGTAGATCTACATGACTGATGACCGTACTTTGACAGGAAAAGGAGACAATGGCTTCAGGAATTCAGATAAGAGTTAAAATTAGTTGACATAAATATGGTAGAAAATACAAGGCATAGAGCAGCCGCAGTAATACTTTCAACTAAGCTAATTGAACAATGTCGGGTCACACACATTTATTAAACCTAATTTATATATCACGTGTCCTTACACTGCAAAGAAACTTTCTGTGCTTTAGCTGACTGTGCAAATGTCAAGATAAAGTGAGGGAAAGTGGAGAAAGGGCAACCCAAGGAAAGGGAAAAGCCCAATCATCCTCAACAAGAGGCTTAGAAGAAACTGCATCCATTCACCATCCCCAGCCCCAGGCATTTAATGTTATCTCCCAGGTAAATAGCCTTAGGAGGTTTCTGAAAAAGTGGCAACAGCTTCAGCAACCAGTTAGCAAGGGGATTTCACTGTACTGCATTACTGAAATGAAAGCCATCTAAAATCAGTTGATTTCATGTGCTTTGTTGCGCTTAACAAATTGTGTGTGTTGAATTTTAAAACCGGAGCATAAAGTTTCTGCTTAAATTTTTTTCCATATTTATTCCATAATTTAATATCATGCCATAATCATTTAGGACCTTAAACAACATTGGTATTCATTTTCTTTCCAGGATGTCTTGAACTCAAAATATTGGTATTGCATTCAAATGAACTATATCTTAAAAAAAAAAATTGAAGCATTTTAGTAGCAGACACTGATTCAATTTTATTTTATTTATGTGCACTTAAAAATAGAAAAGAAAATGTGCTTAATTCTCCTTTTAAGGTAAGCTAAAGCTCAGCTTCTGTCTAAAGAGCCACATAAAAATGACCCTGGAGACCTTGGCTACACATTCAGGGGTCAAATATTTCAGTGCTTCACTGCTCCCATTCCTGTTACAGGTACATGTGACAGCGCTGCAGCGATGAGTGGAATTTTAAAGAGGAAGTTTGAAGAAGTTGACGGCTCCTCACCCTGCTCTTCTGTGCGGGAATCGGATGATGAAGTTTCCAGCAGTGAAAGTGCTGACAGCGGGGACAGTGTCAATCCATCCACTTCCAGTCACTTTACCCGTGAGTGCTGAAGCTATAGCTTATGATGAAAGCAGGTCTGCTTCTACAGTAAAAAAGGATTGTTCCATGTGTGTCGCTTTGACTTTCATTGCCCCCATTTTTTGTCCAATACAAGCAAAATTAGCAAGAATAATTAAATGTTTCTTGGAGTAATTCTGTGGATTCTATGCAAATGTGAAGTAAACCCAGGTTCAAAAAAGCATCTTCTCATAAACTGAAAAGGCATTCTGGGAGGACACGAGGACTATTTTTAGGAGTGGGGTATCTCAGTTATAATGAAAAAGGACTTAGGAGAACATTAAAAAGAGCTGTGAAAGCAGCCAGTCTCCTCGGTGTGCAAGCCTATGTAGTCGACCACCTCTTTCTTGCTCAGCCCTTTGTTCTGTGCTCCCCAAGGACAACTATTAAAACCTGCCACAATGTCAGGTATCCATTCCTGTCAGACATGGTAATGTGAGGTTTAAAGGAATAGCGGGAAAAACTCTGAAGTTAATACAGTCAAAGAAAATTAGACAGGGCTACCAGACACCCAAGTAGGTTTTATTTTGTTTTGTTTTGTTTGTTTAATTTTAAGTGGAAAGGCAGATATGCGGAGAGAAGGAGAGACACAAAGATCTTTCATCAGCTGGTTCATTCCCCAAGTGGCCACAATGGTCAGAGCTGTGCTAACTAGAGCCGGGAAATTCCTCCGGATCTCCCAAATGGGTGCAGGGTCCCAAACTTTAGGTTGTTCTCCACTGTTTTTCCAGGCCACAAGCAGGGAGCTCTAAGAAAGGTGGAGCAGCCAGGACACGAACCAGCACCATATGGGATACTGGTATTGCGAGGTGAGGATGTAGCAACTAGGTTATTGCACTGGGCGCCTAAGTAGTGTTTTTAAATGTATGCTTCTGAAACATGACAGTTTCACTATGTCACCATCTCATGATATATAACTAGTTTTAGTTTTTATTTTCATATATAATTATATAATACAGGATTTTATTTTGAAAGTGTGGCAACTCGAAAACCAATTGTCATTCTTTTTTTTAAAGATTTATTTTCTTTTTATTGGAAAGTCAGATATACAGAGAGGAGAAGATCTTCCGTCCAATGATTCACTCCCCAAATGACCGCAACGGCCAGTACTGCACCGATCTGAAGCCAGGAGTCTGGAACTTCTTTCAGGTCTCCCACACAAGAGCAGGGTCACAAGGCTTTGGCCATCGTTCACTGCTTTCCCAGGCCACAAGCAGGGAGCTAGATGGGAAGCAGGGCAGCCAGGATTAGAACAGGCACCCACATGAGATCCCGGTGCATTCAAGGTGAAGACTTTAGCCACTAGGTCACCATGCCAGGCCCCAAATCCAAATTTCTTTCTACATGAGGGGCCTTCAAAACTTCATGGGAAATGCAACTCTCCCAAAAATATTTGTATGGGATTCAAAAGATTTTATTGTCCTACCAATTGTGGTTCCCCTATGCCTACATGTGTGTATTTATTATATATATATATGAAAATAATAAATTACTCATTTTTAAATTTTTTAAAAATTGATTTAAAATAAGTAGAATGAAATAAACTTATTTATGTTATTTTTCATGTTATGCATTGTCCATTTTGTTTTATTTCAAAGCCCAAGAGACAGCAAAAGAGCCAGAGGTTGCATGCCCTGGTTCCTGCTTTAACTATCCACCACAGCCAGGGCTGCCCCAGCTAAAGCCAAAATGCCAAAACTCAACCTGAGTTTGCTCTAAGGGAAGCAGAGAGCAAGGTACATCAGTCTACCTGCTGCACACCATGGTGTGCATTAACAGGAAGATGGAGTAAGAAACAGAGCCAAGGCTCAAATCCGTACAATATGGGGCATGGCTTTACTTACTGCTGCACCAAACTGAAACTAATCTTTTAATTCCACTTTTTAAAGAAAATCTTTCTGATGTATACATATTTATGTTACTTCTTCTCCTTTTAACAATGCTGATAGTAAGTAATACTTCCCTAAAACTACAGAAAAAATAAATGAGGGTCAGAGAAGTTAAATATCTGGCCCAGGATCATACAGATTTGAACTGAGGTTAATCAATTATATATCTACCTCCCTACTGACACGTCCTGCTCCATAGTCTCTGATGTTGCTATTATTTCATTCTGCTCTCAATTATATATATTGGATGTGTCTTAAAAATTTTATTTATTGGGGCCTGGTGCAGTAGCCTAGCGGCTAAAGTCCTTGCCTTGCACATGCCGGGATCTCATATGGGCACCAGTTTGTGTCCCGGAAGCCCCACTTCCCATCCAGCTCCTTGTTGTGGCCTGGGAAAGCAGTAGATGATGGCCGAAAGCCTTGAGACCCTGCAACCCTGTGGGAGACCCAGAAGAGGTTCCTGGCTCTTGGCTTCAAATCAGTTCAACTCTGGCCATTGTGAATCACTGAACAAAAGACCTTCTTTTCTGTCTCTCCTTCTCTCTGCATATCTGACTTTCCAATAAAAATAATTTTTTTTTAATTCAAGTTTTCTGTTATAATTCAGAAACTCCTAAAAAGGAGTCAGGGCTGGCATTGGGGTGTTCTGAGTGGAACTTCTGCCTGTGACGCTGGCATCAAGTTCGCCTGTTCATAGCCTGCAGCTCCACTTTGAATCCGTTTCCTGTTAATGACCTGGAAAGGCAGTAGATGTCTGGGCGCCTGCACCTATGTTGAAAACCTGGAGGAATCTCCTGGCTCCTACTTTTAGCTACCCACCCTGTCCATTGTGTATGCGTCTGTGTGTCTCCCTTTCTATAACTCTTTCAAATAAATAATACCATTTTTTTTAAGAAAAATCCTGAAGTGAATTTTCTTAGACAGTGATAGAATGGTAAAAATCTATTTGGAGAAATAAACTAATGAGAATAAATGAATATTGTTTAAAAATCATAAATGTTAAAAAGAAGAGGCAAGTTTTGCTTTTAGAATCTAGAATATGTCACTCCATTGATTTCTTGCCTGTAGAGTTTCTTGTGAGAGTGAGAGGTCTCCTGTGAGTTTAACTGACATTCCTTTATATATCCGTTTATTTTTTTCACATGCCCATTTAAGAATCTTTCCCTTATGTTCGATTGAAGAGAGCTTAATTATCATGTGTCATGGTGAAGATCGCTTTTGGTCAAACTTGTTGGGAGTTCTGTGCCCCTCCTGGGTGTTGTTTCCCAATTCTTTCTCCAGATTAGGGTCATTTTCCCTTATTATTTCATTAAATGCATTTTTAATCCCAGCTTCTCTTCCTGTGCCTTCTGGGACACCCGTAACTCTTATATTTGGCCTTCTAGTAGTGTCTTTCAATTTTCAAATACTTTTTTTTGGCTAATCCAGCTTTGCTCTCCGAATTTTATTTGTTTCCCCCTGATGACAGGAAAACCCATGTATTTGTTGCCTACAGGAGACATAACTCACCAACAAAGGTCAATGGAAACTAGATTTCCTGGATTTTGACCGTTTTTTTGTTAGTTTCATCTCTTCAAAACACTTTCTTCTAATCAAATTCTTCAATGACTCATTGATCATACAGAAACATCATTTTCTTCAAGAGGGTTCTTGATTTTCTTTTTAATTTCTCCAGCGACACATTAGTCATTCAGTAGCATGTTATTTAATTTCATGGTGTTGTTAATTTCTTCTTTTTTTCCTGTTGTTGCTTTTGTTTTGTGGCTTTTAAGGGGATGTATAGTAACTCTGTGATGGAGACTATCATATCTAGCAGCATGTTATTTGACTTCATAGCATTGTAAGTTTCTATTTTTGTTCCAGTTGTTGATTTTGTATTTGTGGCTTTTCATTAAAGGGAATGTATAGCACTGTGTAATGGAGACTATCATATCCAGATGTGAAGATACAATGCTGTATGCATCTCTACTTCCAGACAAAGATGGACTGCCAATCTTGACAATAGGATGCTTAACTCTCTGCCGTTGTCCATGCCCACAATGATGGACATATGATTGTGTATGGAGAACTATACTATAGTAATGATATAGGGAAACTCAGTGAGGGGGAATTGAATTAGGGAAATCCCACAATTTCTGTATCATAAAATGATAACAATAAAAAGAAGTAAAATTAAAAAATAAAAAAATCAAATGTTAAAAAGAAAACTGCAGAAATCAGGTCTGAGTAGGAAATTATTTGATGGAATTTTGGGTCAGTGCTTTATCTAGGAAAAAAAGAGCCTATTATGTTTCAAGAATAATTCAATATTATTTAGAAAATGAACATTATGGAATAATGGAAAAGGAAAGGATTATTTAATAAATGTTTGCAGTGGCAATAAGTTGAAAAAGAAATAACTTAAACTCGTCTCATTACATATGCCAAAATATATTCCAATTTCATTAAATAAATTCTTTTTAAAGCTTTTGTAAAGTTTCATATTTGTCAGACGTTTGGTGGGATTTGTGAGCTTTAAAGCAATAGGGAAAAAATTCAATGAAAAATACTCAACATAGTGATTCTAAATGCTAAATTTATCTGCACAATATAATAAAATCAAAACAAGAGAAAAGCAATTCATATTAGAAAAATATTTTTAGTTAACATGCTCTGGTTTTTAGATTGCATCTTAAAAAAAAACAACATGTAAACTTCTGAAAAAGCCATACAATATACTTCCCAAACATAATCTGCGTAGGAAGAAACATAATTAACAAATGTTTTAAAGCACTTAACAGAATAAGAATAAAAATGCAAGACAGAAATAATACTACTCAGATTTTCTCCACGTGAAATTAGTATTCCTTCTACCAGTTAAGTAATATTGATATTAAAGTTGTAATGAACTTACACATGTAACGTGCTATTAATGGTAGTGATATTCAGAAAGCGCTTTAGCAATAGAAAAGATATAAAATAATTTCAGCGATGCATTTAAGAGAATTTATCTATAGGGAAACAAAATGTTAAACAAAAGGGGCCATTTGTATATAAGTTAAAATGCAAGCAGATAATGATAGCACCAAAAAACAGAGGTAGTAAAGACAGCAA